CTCAATTACTTGTTTACCATATTTCCCTAACACACTCTTCATTCTGGTTCGCCTTCATCTTTGATTTTATTCTCATCACTTTCAAAATGAAGATTCTGGGTGGAGGGTCTCTTCAACTTGTCTATGCACTCCTAATTTTAGTGCATATGCAACCTTCCATTGGATTCAATTCAACAATTGGTGATGATGATATTAGGTGCATAGAGAGCGAAAGACAAGCCCTTCTCGCATTTAAGCATGGTTTGGTTGACGAATATGGCTGTCTTTCTTCATGGGGCAATGAAGAAAAGAAAAAGGATTGTTGTGAATGGGAAGGAGTTCGATGTAGCAACACAACTGGGCACGTCACTGTGCTTAATCTGGGAGGGTTTACTCCTCTCTTAAGAGGTAACTTTAGTCCTTCCCTATTTGAGTTGCAGCATTTAATTTATTTAGACCTCAATGAGATTAATTTCAACTTAAGCCACATTCCAAATTCTATCGGTTCACTCAACAAAATAAAACATCTTGATCTCTTTTATTGTAATTTAAGTGGACCTCTTCCTAGTCAGCTTGGGAACCTTAGAGGTCTGCGGTATCTTAATCTTGGCTATAATCAGTTTGAAGGTTTGATTCCAGAAAATCTTGGTCACATGACTTTTCTGGAAAACCTAGAGCTCGCCTTCAACCAATTTGAAGGAGGGATACCAAAATCCTTTGGGAACCTGTGCAACTTAGTTTCCCTATATCTGTGGCTTAACAATCTTGACGGAATGCTTCCTGAACTTATTGGTAACTTATCTGGATGTCTACAACTCTCCTTGGAAGAATTGTTGTTGGATGATAATAAAATTAAGGGACCCGTGTCTGATATGATAAAAAATTTCTCCTCACTGCGATGGTTGTCTCTTTCCAACAATCAACTAAGCGGTACTCTGCCCAAAGGTATTGGACTCTTGTCGAACCTTGAGAGATTATATATTTCTTCCAATTCTTTGAATGGGACTATTAGTGAATCACACTTTTCAACGCTATCTAAGTTACGGGATTTGTCTCTGTCTTCTAATTCTTTGAGCATCAACTTTAGCAATGACTGGATTCCTCCATTCCAATTGGATGATATAGAACTTCAATCATGCGAGTTGGGCCCGAAGTTTCCAAGCTGGTTAAAGTCCCAAAGAAAATTTTCTTATCTTGATATCTCTGGAGGTGGGATTTCAGATAGCATCCCACCGTGGTTTTGGAACCTATCTTCTAGAGCAAATCATGTGAATCTTTCTTCCAATCATCTCTATGGAGTCTTGCCAAATTTGTCAACTACAAAATTTGCTGATTCTTTTGGCCTTGGGATAGATATGAGTAAAAATAAGTTGGAGGGTCTATTACCAGTATTCCCTGTTAATGTCACATCCATAAACCTATCAGAAAATATGTTTTTTGGGTCAATTTCTTCTCTCTGCACCACAACTGATGGGAAACTTACGCTTCTTGATGTTTCATACAATCAACTATGTGGAAAGCTTCCTGATTGCATGGCACGATGGACAAGTCTAGTGATTATGAATTTGGCTAACAATCATTTATTTGGGAAAATTCCAAGCTCTATTGGATCTTTGCATCGTCTTGAATCATTGGGTTTGCAAAACAACAGTTTCTCTGGAGAAATACCTTGGTCTCTAGGAAATTGCAGTGCCTTGCAATATTTGGACTTGAATTATAATAGCTTCTCTGGAAAAATACCTGCTTGGATTGGAGAAAGGCTAAGTTCGCTAACTTTCCTTCTTTTGAGATCCAATAATTTCAGTGGAGACATCCCTTTGCAGCTATGCTGGTTGACAAATATTATGCTGCTAGACCTCTCCCACAACAATCTATCTGGAAACATACCATGGTGCATCCAAAATCTAACTGCATTAGCTCAACAGGAGATTTCTGCCCATGATCATGATTTTATAGATTGGCAACCTGGTGCTGAGATTTCGTACGGAGGAAGCTATGCTGACAAAGCATCTGTAATGTGGAAAGGAATGGAGCGAGATTATGAGAATGGAAATCTCAAGACTTTGAAGATTATTGATCTTTCAAGCAACAAATTAACAGGAAAGATTCCTGTGCAGATATCGGTTCTCTTGGAACTGGTTGAATTGAACTTATCAAGAAATCAGTTAACGGGATGGATTCCTTCAAACATTGGGCAGATGAGAAAATTAGAATCACTTGACTTGTCATGGAACCAGCTTTCAGGTCAGCTTCCTTGGAGCATGTCCCAATTATATTTTCTCGGCGTCTTGAACCTGTCATATAACAACTTTTCTGGGAGAATCCCATCGGGACCCCAAATACAGACATTTGATGCTTCTTCATTTATCGGTAATCTTGCACTCTGTGGGCTTCCTCTAACACCGACTTGTCCCGAAGATGAAAAATCAGATAGCAAACCCAAAAACAGAGACATGGATGAATTCTGGAAATCGTTTAAACCGGGTATGGAACTTGGAGCGGCCATCGGCTTTGTGGGAGTTCTGTCGGTGAAGTTAGATCATCCATGGAAACATCTCTGTTTCCTGTTGTTTAACAACGTGAGGGTCCGCTTCAGCAACTTGAAGGGCTGCCTTTGTTTACTTGTAGCAGCACTTGGTTTGCTGGTGAGAGAAAATGTCTCCAGATTGGGAAGAAAATTGAAGTTGTTCGAGCCATCAGCGTCTTCCTAGAAGCCGGTAAAGGTCGATACACATTTATTCTAATCTTGTGTGGCATCTTCATAACTTGATTAGTGCAAATAACCTCTTATTTGTTGTTTTTCAGATTCAAGATGTTTCATGTTGCAAAGTAAACTTCCAGGATGTCTTTTCCTCTTTCCGCATCAATAAGTCCAAGCTGAGCAGGGCATTGTTTCTTCCTTTATTTTATAAGAGTGTCTTGTTGTAAGGTTGTTTAAATAAAATGGTTTGCGCTTTTTTTTCTATCTTCTATTTTGTAATAATTTGCTTGAAACTGATATATAATATGGATTTGTATTCTGTTATTTAACCAAGTCTGTAATCTGGAAAGAGACAGAAACTCAGAAAGTCAGTGCATGTAAACCTTAATTTATAGTTTTTATGTTAATTTTAAAATATTATCTCTAATTAATCAAATGGTCAAGTGATGTAGGGTAGGATTAAAAACATCCAGGCACCCCTCATCCACTTCCTCTGTTCCTGTGCCCAAATGAGCCTTTTCCTATATTTTCACAAAATTTCCGGAATGGTCAAGAGATGTAGGGCTGGAGATACGCGTCGCCAATGAAGCAGGTAATTTCTAGTTCTCACTTCCCCTGTTTCTTCATCCCAAAAATTCCAATGGCATATCACTAAACTACATAGATGGTCGGTTCTGTTTTCTGCAAATAATTTCAATAAACTCCTGGCTTTTCAACCCATCGTTAGGTTTTTGAGTTAAAATGGCTGCGGAGTTCACATCAAAGGTAAGCTCTTGTTTTGTCTGTGTATTGGGTATGTGCTGCTTCTGTTTCTTTCAAGTTTAATATTTCAATGGAAACAACAATGCAAGCAAATCACTTCAAGTGAATTGTGAAATTAGAAAACAATAATGAAATATTTGCCTGTTCTTTTAATCTTTAGAGAATCCAATTACTAAAGTGGATAATCCAGTAGCTGTTATGCTTTTTTTTTTTCTTCCATTCTTTTGCACACAGCAACCATTTTTGGTGCTAGGTGTAGCATGGATGCCATTAACAAGTGCAAGTAACAGTACTATAAAATGGGTTTCGATTTTGTTTGTGCAATTCCATACACATTTTTTCTGTTAGGTTTTTTATTTAAGGGGTTGCTGTTTATAACCGAAATTTAAGTGTTTTCTTAGTGCATTTTCGATGGGTTTTGACAACTTTGCATCAAATCAAGTGCTTCCTGCAAACAACATCTATAAATGGATGCATTAGTCTTGTAATACTAATTTGATGTTTGCTTTAGCCTAACAACGTGATTCATTCTTGAAAAAAGAGAATGTTGATTCATTTAATTCTGTCTAACTTCTATTCTTAAGAGGAGCAGGCAAGGCAATGCACCAATGCTCTAACAGTAATTCATTTCCCCTTCTATCTCTAT